GTTTTAATAATATCCCTATCCCACAAATGTTCCAATGCCGTCAAATATTATTGAAACCAAAGATTAAACAAATAAAATATGACTATTTCCTACTGTCTTACATTATTGGACAAATATTTTTTCTAACAGTAATAACGCGTGAGTATTTCTTGCTTATTAATTTGCTGTTATATCTTGTAGGTAAGACACCAATTTCATAGTAATGATAATTTTATATGAAAATGTTAACGAACATAACTTATTTTGAAGACAGGTGTTTTCATTTTATTTTAATGTTGTTTTTTTTCGTCCGATTTAGCACAATCTAACTGATCACTATCTTATGACTAATATATTAATTGTGTCTTTTTCGAAATTGTAACTGTTCCTCTTTTAGGTTTTTGTTAAGTTATTTTTGATGACTGATCTTATTGTTTGAATATTAAAAAATCTATAACCTATACCATTTTTTTGGCTTTATATTGTATTATGTTATATATTCTTTTTTTCTAGATTATATTAGCATAACAATTATCTATGCTACCGTTAACTTAAACAACTTTCTCATTTAATGGTTATTTAGTTGATCTACTAGTTACTTGTTCAATAACTGAATGCATTTTCATATGAACCGTATGTATAAATAAAATAGTTTGGATAATATAATGTTCTATTTTTTCTTTTCATCAAATTCGTTTTTTTTTCTATAAGATATTAAGCTAAGTTCGACAAAAAATAGAATTGATGAAAAGAGGAAACAGTTAACTATTTCATCAAAAATATTTTCTTCACACATACGGTTCACATCACAGTGCATTGATTTCTAAAATAAGTAGATCGTAAATCAGTTAGAATGTCTAGGAAAGAGAAATCCTAGATATTTCACTCATTGCCGTAGATCATTCAATCGAACACGTTCAAAACATGTCAATATTTTAAATCGGTTAACTGTTGAGACATGAACAGTCTAACTTAGATGTGTCTTCCAATATGGAGACGTTAACTAAAGTTTCTTATTTTATCGGACGAACAGTCTTGTCTATATACGTTATGTGTCTTGTTATTTTAGATTGTGTTCGCATTCACATAAGATAAAAGAAGATAGCACTACCTGGGCCAGATCAACCATCATGAGTTCGAATAACAAGAACGATAAAGTCATCATTATGACTCTTCCATACGAGTGAGTTAATAAAGCTATTTCTACTGACACTTTGATTTGTGTGTGTGATGTAGAGAAGCTATGGAGACGCCATTGCCTATATGCGGTGGTCCAACACGGTACTATGTTCCATCAAAACCACGAGACGTGTTTTAAACGGTATAACAAGTCTTACGTCTTTGATGATGTTGAATTGATAACAAATTACTCACGTATATTTAGTACCGAAACCTGATCATCGAACATATTCGCAATAAATGGCCTAATGTCTCTGCTAACATTGCCTTGGAGCCTTCTCGTGGGTTTTTTAACTGCAATGGTTACGGTGGTCGATACACATTCGATGTTAGTTTCTCTATAGAACAAAACTTGATGTTTTTCTTTCTTATGCATAGTGTAATGTGCCCGGTGTCGGTTCGGTGGTTGTGACAATCATTGAGCCATTCGAGGCAAGCGATGGAAAATTGGCCAATGACATGGCAGAAAGAAAACGACGAGTACAAATCAATGTCAACTGAATCCTGTTCAAAACGCTTTCTTAATCAACTCCTTTGCATATGACGAATTATCGTGATTTTTATAAACTAGAGATTCCATCTCACCAAATTAAATAATCAGTTTTATATCAAAATAAAATATTTTCCTTGCTTCGGATGCATTCGTGCTTAATAACTGGTTAATCGAGAACATTTGCAAAACTTCCGACAGTAACCCGTGTTTTGTGAAATACGAAATGGAACCAAGAAATGAACTAATCATCAGAGATCGTCATCGAGACAAGAACATAGTCTATTGCTCTGCGGAAACTTCATTAGAAATCTTCATTCTAGCCGAAGTTAGTTTTTGCAGGGAATATTTCATCGTAAGAACAAGCACAAAACATGAATGTGAAACACGATATAGCTGCTAGTGCTGATCGTAGGAAGATAAAGTTTGACTATAAATTTATACTACGTGCAAGATGACCTATTGCTTCGACTTAAGCAACATCCTTTTATAAGTGAAATAACGATGATTTTCTATTAGTATTACCTTCCCATTCATCGTTATGTCATCAATTATACTTACCAATGTGAAGAGGACCAGAATTATCTCAGGAGTGAACAAAGCGGAAAGAATCTATCATTCTTACAGTATATGTTAGATGAGGCACAATGATAACGAACGTTCATCATCTGCTATATTCGACATATGCTCCATGCTTTTGTTATAAAAAAAAAACGCTACAATCTCTTAAAAATCAACAAGAGTTTTGTCGTTGGATTCTGTCACGTTAACTAGAATATCATTAGTTGGTTACGTACTCCGGTTCTCATCCTCACTGTCACGGAACCGATGCGTATGTACGCGCTCTGTCTACTGAACGAGTGTGCCTGTTTTCACCGGCACCCACAGAAGTGGAATACCTGATCAAGGTCATTTGGTTTTTGGGTGAGTATGGGTGTTGATCTGCTCTTTACCCACATCCACATCCATTAGAACAATTATTACATAGAGATAGTTTTCAGGGTGCAGCTTGTTTTTAAATGAAATTATTTCTAAGACATTCATTCCAAGTAAGTTTGAACCAGTTTCGACTTTTATGAAGTTCTGTCAACATAAATAACGAATTTGAGTAGTTTCTTTTTATGCATAATTTAAATAAGGTCTTCCAAGATCACCTTGCTCATATAAAAAATGTCCATGATTTATTGACATTATTGACATCTATGATACTATTTATTCATAACAAACTCTATAATGTTAGCTAGATGATAAAATTGCCAGTAATATTACTAGAAATTTTGATTAGATCTAAGTAGATTAAGGATTAGAATAAGTGGATACATATGGGTTAGTGAATTGGATATAGATACAGATAGTATATTACGGATTATGTTAGGTAGTCTATCAGTTTAGATGTGCATACTGATATAGAAATAGAGCCACTGGTGTGACATTGGAATACCGGCGAAATTTTGACTACGAAACCATATTTTTACGAAACTTTAAGAAGGTTCCGATTTTGTTGCAAAATTCGGAATCTTTTTTAAGTTCCGTATAGTACCATTTTGTTTTCAGTGTAGCTTTTCAAAGATTATCCCGCAACAGATAATCGACAGAATACTATCGAAATCCCGTCGGAAAGCGAAGAAAACAGTAGGAAACATCCGATTATGGCAGGATACGGTCGTATACCACAAGACTTTTCAGAGTGGTTCCTGCCCAAGCGGCAATATTTTCTCCATGCATCCGCTGAGGTTTTTGCAGGATTCCGTTACAGAAATCAATAAACTTGCAACAAGTATCATGGAGTGCAGAGCTACGCTAACGTAAATAGGAATTTAAGCGTCCTACACCACCATAATATACACACTGGAAACGAACAGAATCCTGCAGAAATACCACAATAAATCGCAGCAAACTTAGCGAAATAGCAATCCTATTCAACCGGAACAAACCGAGCGTGACAGCAGAAAAAATTGATCAGAGAAGCAAGCACAACCTTCACGCCCCACGTTTATCATAAAACGATCCATCTTATGTGTCTAAAGAGGAGCAAAGACGATTTCTACAATTTTGGAAAGTGAGAGATCTGTGGAGAAGTGCTCACCCTTTTATACTTCGAAAGTGAGCATTTTAACCATGAAAATAATCGAATATGCTCACTTTATCTTGGTGCTATATACGCACTACAGTATCTTATTATGTTTATCAAAAGATCAGCGAAGATGTTTCACACAATTCCGGCAGGAGAAAAGGGTATGGGAAAGTGCATGTATCGTTGTAAGGAAAAAGGTAGCATTTTCAACTATGAAAATAATGAAAAGATGGTCAACTCTCGTTGGTTACTGTTTGCTTGCATAGAAGATACTCGTTTTTGGATTTCAAGATACAACAGGAGGATTGGTAAGTGTTTCGGAAGCATTGATTATGAGCGATTACAGCAGATTCGAGCTGTAGAAACGATGGAATTCGGTCCGTATCCGTTCGTCATACTAGATACATGTATCCCTAGTCCAGATCCATGCGCAAAACGAGAATGGGATGTGGCTATCGTTTCCGAGTTCAGAAAATCGGTGAAATCAGGCCCGAAACTGAGGAGAAAACCAATCTCAGATCTGGTCGGAGAAAATCAACGGGAATTTGCTGGATCCGGCCGTTTTCTGTCATATATTCTTTACCTGGGTTGAAATTCTAATCAGTTATATAATGGAAGCACATCGTTTCACGATCAATATATATGCATAGAAAATCACTTCATCGATATAATCGTTTGTCAAGATAAAATATTATTTATACGTTGGCTGAAATTAAGAAATGTTCAAATATCGATTAGACATTATCAAAATATCAATCGATAACTTTTCAGCTGTCGACTGTATGTTAATTATGAATAAAATATCATTGACTTTCAGCATACATATTGATATACATATGTAGCTTCACAATATATAATTCATTTCATTGAGACCAATGATGATAAATTTTACTCAAGTCGAATGTTACAAAGAGCAACCGTAAAAAAATGAGTTAAGATGTGAGGCACGATTCTAAGAAATAGTTAAAAACTAACTACATTTGAAAATTCTTCATCAACTATTTTGACTGTTGTCCTAGTAAGATTTTATTCTTTCTAAGAAGGAATGAGTGTAGAAAACTGTTGTCAATTATTTAACCTTTCGGACACTTAAAATCAGTTATACGCTGAGGATCAAATTTAATTTTAGTATCACTACCAAATTAGAAATAAAATTCAAGACAATTAATGATATTAATTATGTATTTATTGTTACTAGAGAAAATGAAGTGTGCAAACAATTATGAGAAATTCATTATTTCTTATTTTCAATGACGAATGATAAAATTAACGTTAAGATTATGTATTAATATGGCTAGACGATTGGCTCGAATAAACATGAATTTTGATTATTTCACACACATAATCAACATCTTCTTGATTCATACCATGATGAGCACCGATCAAGAAGCCATTTTTCATTATCTCGTCAGCATTCGAAAAGGCTTCATTGAACTGTCGGTATGCAGGATGTCGAGTGATGTTACCTGCAAAACACACTCGTGTTTGAATATTGTTTTCTTCAAGTTTTTGAAGAAGTGCCTTGCGATTAGGTAACATCAGTGGTAATGCAAGCCAATCTACTTTATCGTGATTTTTTGGGAGTACAAGGCCATGAGATTCAAGTTCTTTGAGTTGTTCCACAAAACGATTTATATTTTGACGACGTATCTTAAGAAATAATGATAACTTTTTTAACTGTTCCAGACCAAATGCAGCATTCATTTCAGTCGATTTCAAATTATAACCAAGAACAGGATATAAGAACTTGAAGTCGTATTCAATGTCGTCAACAGAATGTCCAAAACGTTCGGAGAATGATTCAGTGTTGGTACCCATTCGTCCCCAATCACGATATTGTAAAGCAAGATCACGTTGACTCTTTTCATTACACATAACCATTCCACCACCACCACCTGCTGTAATTATATGGCTAGAGTAAAATGATGTAACAGATATATCTGTTATCGTCGTTGTCGTGATTGTATCGCAAGAATCTTCAATCAGTAAAATATCTCGACGACCTAACATAAATAATTCGTCTTTCAATCCTTGCCAATCAGGTTTGCTACCGATCAGATTCGGAAGAAAGAAGGCTTTTGTCCGTAAACTAACTTTTTCAATAACTTGTGCGACAGTAGGTACATACGAACCACGTTCGACATCACAGAATACAGGTACAATGCCAAGTTGAACAATGGGAGCAACAGTTGTAGAAAATGTGCATGCAGGTGTAACAATTTCATCACCTGCTTTTAGACCTGCAATGAGTAATGCCAATATATTGCCTGATGAACCTGAATTAACCATTACACCGAATTTTTTTCCGAAGATATTTGCTACTTCGCATTCAAATTGTTCAGTAATTGGACCTGGTGCAAGCCAACCTTTTCGTAGACAGACTTCAACCGCTTTGATTTCTTCATCACCATACGATTCGAATTTATTAGGTGCATACCAAATCTTTTTCGTATATCCATGAACTTTACTTCCCGATGAA